AATCCCTGCTGGCCAGCTACATGAAAAAGGGAAAAAAACAACACCAAAACAACAGAGAAAGAGATTCAGAAGCGTTAAACAGATTTGCATTAGGACTGGATCTAAATTTATTAATTTTATTTTACATCCTCCAGTCATCTAGGCTTGGATGACAAACCAATTTTTGATGTTAAAAGCTATTCCCTCCCCAAAACTTGTCCAAGGTCTTCTAGTCTCAAACTTTAAACAAAAAGCCTTTAACTGAGAAAGAAGTATCATAGTTCTAGTTCAGCCACACAGTCAGCTTACCACGCTTAACAAATTACTGCATAACAGTTTAGCCACAAGTTACAAATGTGCATAGAGAGACAGTATCAGGAGAAACTCTACTTAGCTTAGCTGGAAACAAAAGTGTGATAAATTATGTCACATTACCTTCACTTTATCATAAATTAAACACACGCGCACACACATACCAGTGAAGTGATGCGTTACTAAATCTGCAGTAAGAGAAAATCACCCATAGAAAGCAGGGAACAGGACAGTCAGAGCTCCTGACAGATTTGCTGCTCTGATCTGAAAGCAGTAGCTGAAACTCTGCTCACTCCAGGCATTCACTCTCCGACCAGCACTGCTGCTCCTGAAGTAATGCTATCTACTGCATTTGTGAGCGTGCTTCTCCAGGTCAGCAGAGCTCTTAGCTGTCAGATACCAGCTACTGCCTTTGCTCTGTTTTAGCTCTGAAGCACAGTGACAAAAATTAAAATTTCTGCCTAGCTTCAAGCAACAGAAATTTCAGCAATTATGAAAACTGATAATAAACTATTTTCCAGCATTCCTCTAATTACAGAGCGATTTAAATTGAACTATTAAAAATGCTTTTCAAACAGGTCAGATTCAGAAGCTATGCTAAATAATTCAATATTAATACAACCATTAACACAAAAACAGAGATAAAATTACAATATCACAATGTCAAAACTCAAATGAGGAAAAGTTCCTGGCAGCAAATATTCTTGAGTAACTGTGCTGTGCTACCAGCTAACCCAAGTGTTAATTAGCACTTCTGCTTCAGCAGCAACATTCAGCAGTAAGACAGAGTACATTCAGAACAATCTTGGTATTGAAATGTTTGTTTGCAAACCTCTAATATCCTGTATTTATAATTTCTTAACTACCTAGAGTTTTACAAATGGAAAGGATCAATAATACTTGCAAGAATACTGCAACAGCTAATATTGCTTCATATTAGCCAACCATGATATGGCAAGAGGTAAAAATCGCCAAAGTCCTCCCTTCCCCTGCCCTAAAGAGTGATGTTTTGAGTAGGAAGGCCTGTAAAGTGGGAGATAAAAGCATCACAGATGTATTACTCAGAAGGCAGCTTTCAGTGGTCGGTTTTTTTGACTGGTAAGGTTACAATTAGCTTCAAACAATTGCTAAGATGTATGGCTGGTGTAAAACTAATGCTTCAGTATGTCAAGAACAACTTTTCAGCAGTGGTTTTACAACGCCTAACTCAATAGTCTATTATGATGATGCCCTGCCTATTAGCTGAACAAATTGCTGCAAAGCACAATACTCTGCAGAAATATTGGGAAAACTGCTATCAAATAAGGAAAATACCAATATTTTTAGGAAGCTGGCTTTACTAGTACACCACGAATGACACTATTCATATGTATTTATGAGTTCATTTAAAATTTGTAATATGGAATCCAAAATCTGAGAATGCACTAACACCAGAAGTTTAGCTAAGTGACAAAGTTCAACATTTTATTCCACTACAATCTTCTCTCATGGTTACAAAATCAGTGTAAAGTGCCCGATGATCTCTGCTGGCTGGACCCTGGGATGCAGCCAAATGAAGTCTCTCTGAGCACCGTGGAAGAATAACTAAAAATAGCATTTAACATATTCATTTTTCCATCTCAATTGCAAAATGAAGCAAAGGAAGTTTCAGAAACGATCCAACTTCCCAGTAACAAAGAAATACAGCACCACTGGGAAAAGCCTATCAGAACCCAAAACTCACAAGGCGGAATAATCACATTTGCCATGTCATTTACCATATGAATGTTCCCCATTGCTTTGCAAGGCAATGTGGTTTCCCAAATCAACTGTCTTACCTTTAATGTTGTCCTTGTAGAACTTGTTGCTCTCCTCCACTGTGCTGAAGCCAGCGTACTGGCGGATAGTCCACGGCCTGTACGTGTACATGGTTGGGTAGGGTCCTCGAGTGAACGGTTTCACCCCTGGCAGCTCCTCAGGAAGGTCTTTCGTGTCCCTTTTGGAGTATAAGGGTTTGATGTCAATCCCCTCTGGGGTGTGCCAAATTAAATCCTTTGGATTCTTGCCCTTCAGCTGCTTTTCAGCAAAGGCAGCCCATTCGGGGTGCAGCTGTTGCCTGTGCAGTGAACGCCATGCGAGCTGGCAGGCTGGAAGTTGTGCCCGGCACGTGCCGCGGCAGGGCCGCAGGCGCAGGAGAGCATCCTTGGCTCTTAGCATGTCTGCCCCACTGGCTGGCGAGTATGGGGTAAGCTGGAGAAAATAAAAACACGTATTTTTTGCACTATCATATAAATCCGACACGGGAGAAGTGAGCATGGTGAGGTCAAGCAGTCTGCCAAAACCGAAACAATTACTCAGGAAAAAGCTAAGTGTATTTATTCACTTATTCATCTGACAGACACCCCTTCCCCTTGCCTTTCAACCAGATAATGCATAAAACAGAGTTCAGGAAAAATCCTACACGTTCCTCCAGCTAAGGAAAACACTCCTATAAATCATCCACATCCACCTATGACATGTGTAACTTATTTCAGTCCCTAAGCAGCACCATCATTTATCCATCACTGAAAAGTCAGTGTTATGCATGAAGATGGCGTGCCTAGCTACCTGCCTACCTTCCCATCTCCCTTTCATCTATGAATTCCTTAACGTCAAAAAGACACTCAACATCAAAGAGCCTCTCTGAAGGCAGTGGACTGTCAGAAAATTGCCGATATATCATACACTTTGGAGAAGGTGGCTTGGGCTTGATGGAAATCACAGATCACAGAATGTTCAGGGTTGGAAGGGACCTCTGTGGGTCATCTAGTCCAAACCCCCTGCCAAAGCAGGGTCACCCAGAGCAGGCTGCACAGGACCTTGTCCAGGCGGGTCTTGAATATCTCCAGAGAAGGAGACTCCACAGCCTCCCTGGGCAGCCTGTTCCAGTGCTCCGTCACCCTCAAAGTGAAGAAGTTCTTCCTCATGTTCAGCTGGAACTTCCTATGCTTTAGTTTGTGTCTGTTGCCCCCTGATATATACCAAGAGGGAAAGGAGCAAAAAAAACCACGCTCTGCAAGAACACGGGGATAATACAAGTTGCAGAGCTCATGTCACCATGCAGATGGTGGATAAGTTCAATAACTCCTGAAAGCTGTAAGCTCCTCTGCATCTGGTCTCTGCACCCTGTCCCTGCACTTCCTCCCCAAGCCAAAACCTTTACAGCTTGGCTCGAAGGGCCAGTCTCTGCCTCCTCTCCTTCTCAGCTCCCTGGAAACACACGCTTCCCTTACATCTTTATGAGAAAGTCTACATAACACTGGAAAGCATCTCTATCACTGTTATGGTGCTGCAGCAACATGCTCTGCACAAGTGCTTTAATAAGATATATGCTGCGTTGTGGTATACATAGAATCTGCTGAGCGCAAAGGAGCACCAGAGGAGCACTCACTTCCCTGCCAAGTTGGGATCCTGCAGCCAGCATGGAAGCCAACCTCGACCTCCGCTGCTGCACGGCTCCCAACGCGACCCCCCCGGCCCTGCACCCCATAGGAACCACAGACCTGCCCCGCCACCCTCCTCCACCCCTCACACCGCAGCCCCCACAGGCGGGCAGC